CATAGAGGGGTTGGGGATGAGGAGGGAGATAGAGGGCCCTGGGAGTGAGGAGGGTCGTAGGGTCTGTAGGTGAGGACACCGAGAAAGGTTCTGGAGGTAGGAGAGTCATAGAAGGGTCTGGAGACCACAGAAGGAAAGATAGAAGGTTCTGGGGCCCTGGCAAGAAGTGAAGATAAGAGGGCCTGAGCTCGAACTCCAACCTTAAAAATAGTGTTCCAGCCTCTACCTGCCCACCTAGAACAAATATTTAATTTGTTACCCCCTTACACTTTCTCTGATGGCTGTGACCTCTGGAATCCAGTGGGTGGGACTGGCTATTATGTTCGGCCCTAAACCTGCACCTCTTTCCTTATGCCTGATGGAAGTGAATCGCACATTACCCAGGTGCCCTCTGATTCCTCTTGCATTCTTCCACATTCAGGCATCTTCGGATCTTTCAGTTTCCTTTGTGCCTTGAGTCTGCCTTTTCCTTGTCAAGGTTTTTGCTGAAGCTATCTTTTCACCCCCTACCCTGGACAAACTGTAGCTAGTGTGATTTCTTTGACTCACAAATCTGATTATGCCTTGTGCTTTAAAACCTTCATTGGCACCCAGCCCCCATCACCTATAGAATTAAGTACAAACACCAGATATTCAAGACCCTTCATAAACTACCTTGCAGCCTAATTTCCATGCATCCCACACTCCAGGGCTGTAAAAGTTTCCATCTCTTGGGAAGGGTGTTTGGTTTTCCATCATTGTATATGCTGTTCTCTGTGATTAGAATACACTTTCCCGTCTTCCCCATTCTCTGCTAAGAGAACTATTCTTTCTTCAAGAACCAACTCAAATGTTACTTTGTTCAATTGCCTTAAGCAGGTAAAGTCACCTTCCTCGGCACCCCCGCCAGCTCCCACAGACCTTTGACTGCATTTTCCAAATTTGATCATCATTATCTGACTTTTTTGTCCTTTCCACTGGACTTTAAGCATCTCCAGGACAGGAGTCACCTCCGTTTCTCCATTGCCCAATCCAGAGTAGTAACCACTTGATGAATGTGTGAATAAAGATCATCCAGGGTGAGCCTGGATATACCAGGCTTGAAGACTGCTCTTCCAGTGGATTTCGGGTGGCATGAGCTTTAGTCTTCTCCTGCCATCAGGTCTGTTACTGCTGGAAGCTGATTCATTGCCTATGGGAGTTTAAGCCAGGAGTGGCAAATACATGAAATGTGTGCTGCCACTTCCCCTTCTTGTGTCTGGCAGTCATAGCTAATTGGTCACAGCACACATTCACATGGGATTCAGAGTCCTTAGCACAGTTGACTGAAGTTGGAGCTTTAAATGAAACCATTACTTTCCCTGGTTTAAGCCCTTAAGTGTGAGGTCAAACTGCTTAAGTAATAGCCTTGAACATCAGCCAAGTGAGCTTGACAGCCTTTGGGAATTCTCACTCTCTCTTTGGAGGTCACAGACCAGTCTTGGCCTTTCCCATAGGACTGGGGCAGATCTCTTCACATCCTCTTGTTTAGTGGGTGGGTTCTTCATGTCCATATCTATTCTCGCTACTCTAGAAGCCAGGATGCCTGTCAGCTTCCCTGTGTTTGTAAAGGGATCTGATTTTGACAGCAGTCAATACCTATCCCTCATTACTTAGGGGAATCTATACCCATTCTAGGTCTTCCTGGATATTGGAAGAGACCTTTGAAATCATTTAGCTGAAAGGTGGTGAAGTGACAGCACATGCTGAATGAAGCCTACCATCATGCTGTTTAATCCTAATAGTGTTTGAAACAATTTTGATTTGGTTGCCAATATTTAAAAATCCAAAGTTTTAGCTTTTCAGAAAAATGGGAAGGCCTGTGGACACTGGGCCAGTCGTCCCTCTGGTGCTCTATAGTAGCCACAGTCCCCACTCCACTCATGGCTTCTGTAGCCATTTAAATTTGTAGCCACTGATTCTAATCTTTCTACTCCTTTGCTCCACTCCCATTGTACTATTTGGGGAACCTGGGGCAACTTCTGAGTAGGATCAGGCTGTAAGTTGTAGTCTAGATAGACAGCTGTCGAAGCCACATGACCTGTCCAAAGTCACACAGCTGGTAAGTAGCAGGAGTGGAAGTAGGACCCTGATTTGGTCACTCCTGCTTAGATCTTTCTACTCTGTCAACCATTGAGTTTGGATGACTGTCAGACCTAGAGGAGGCTATGTAGTGTGGTTAAAAAAACAAAACAAAACAAAACAAAAAACGGCAGAAGAAAATGCATCTGGGCTTTATGTAGTGTGGTTAAAAAAACAAAACAAAACAAAAAAACGGCAGATTCCAACTCTATAACTTGCTAGCTGTGTGACCTTAAGTGAATCTTCATAGAAGCTCAGTTCCCAATGTGTAAATTGAGGACGGAGTCATACCTTACACGATAATGATATTCTAAAGTCAGCATGGAAGATAAAAATTACATTTAGCTAAAAATCGCAGTCAACTTGAAAATCCTTTGGTAAGGAGCCATTTAGAAACCAATATGCTGTCTTTCAATAAGCTAACCAGCCTAGCTGGGTTTTCTCAGTTGAACATTAGATGAAAGATTTATCCTATGATTAGGAATCCTGCTGTATGAAAGACATTCTGCTCACACTCAGTCGAAAGAGAGGCTTGAGGGAACTCAGACCAACCTGGGGACCAGCATTCAGGGGTAAGAACACCACATGCTCACACTCTGGAATAGACAGATAGTGAATGGGACTGGTGCGGTATTTAAATTATATCCTTTCTCTCTCTTCCTGTTTGTATATAGTTTAATATGTATAAGTTATAGATCAGTGTAATGCAGCTCAACACTACTGACGCTTGCTTGCCTGGAGAATTCACTGAGATTGTGAATGTAGAGCACTTAGCACCAGGCCTGACATCTCATGAACACCCAATAAATGGGGACTCTTTGAGGCTGCTGATCCTAGTGAGGCCCCGATATTCCCGGTAGTCTCAGGACTGAGGAATGCCCTTGTCTGTTTTTCCTCTGTCATCTCTGTGTGAAGTCACCCTGCTGTTGGCTGACCGTGTTGACCTCCTTCTGTGGATATGCTGCTATTTATATCTATCTAAGAAAGTAGCAGAAACATCTTGCAGATTTGTATTTGAAAATAACCTTTGGGACTTTTAAGTCTTCCCAGAAGAAAATACCTATTATCTGAGACTCTGGGCTTTGGGTCTGGTGGAACTACAAACTGCCTGTTTTGTTGTAGTGTTCACTCTGTGCAGGAGTACAAACCTCTTTGCTCGCTCGTTGTCCGTCTCTCTCATTAGACTGTAATTTTTATGCCGGTAGAGACTGTCCTAGTTACTGTTGGCTCTCTAGCTCAGTGCAGGGTACTTGGTGGGACTCTGTAGATGACTGGTGAATTAGTTCTTGTGTGAGAGTGACACAGATGTGTTTGGGCAAGTGCACCATTAAGGTTGCAGTTACAAAGGAAATTTTGTGAAAGGTTAACTCTTTAGCTCAATGTAAATTATGGACCTTCCATAGCCCATTAGGTTTTTAATGTACCAGATTTATTGTTTTAATAAAAGGCAACAAAACTTCCAATGACCCTGCTATTTATCAGACACCAAGTTGAGCACTGTGGATCCAGAAGTGAGTAAGATATAGTACTGGCCCTAGTAATGCAGTCTAATGGGGGCTGTCAGATGTAAGGACAGGCAACTACAATAGTGTAGGGTAATACCTATATTAGAGTTATGTGCCAGCTGCTTTGGTACCACAAGACTGGGGAGGCGATTCTTGGAGAGCAGGCATGAGGGCAGGACATGACAAGAACATGTCAAAGAACTCTTAACAAATGTTGTGACATTGAGCCGATAGCTAAAGGATGAGCAGGAAGTTGCCAGGTGGTCATGAATTGTGTTCCTAGCCTCTCCCTAAGTATGTGGAGGTCTTTAGAACAAGCCTTTGGTTTTCATCACCCATGCCTTATTTTCAGAACATCTGGTCAGATGGCCTAAAATCAAAATACCCGCGTCCCTCCATTCTCAGTTCAGCTATGTCATTCCCACTTGGAAGCAGCTAATAGCCTCCTTTGAGTAGGCATTTTTTTTTTTTAATGTGATCTAGATATGTTTGGAATGACAAAGAGCTCATTTTTCTAGATAACCTAGCTCGAGTGTTGTCAGAGTCTTTATTGTGTAAAAGCAGCAGCCCCAGACATTCATGCAAGTTCATGCAACAAGCATTTACTGAGAGCCTCCTGTGTTTAGTGCACTACGCTTATTGTGGGTGTGGGGGCAGGAAGAGTGTGGAAAAAAGAGAAGTAAGCTATAATCCTTGTCCTCGGTGAGGCTGTAATCTCTCTGGGGACACATGTACACGCATCCCTCTGATATAACCTCGAAAGTGGCATGTGTCACAGAGATGGAAATAAAGAGAAAAGAATTCCTCTGGTGTGAGTAAGAAGGTCATTCTTTTTAATCTAGTGTGCACAGAAAGGAATTAATTATAATCCTTGCTTCATGACACGTCACCATCATTAGTTGACCATTATTTCATTGTTTATTGAATGCTTCCTATGTGCCGAGCACTGTGCCAGGTCCCTTAGGAAGCCTATGATCTAGTGGGAAAATAATTATAATAAAGTATGATCAGGGTAATGCTACAGAAACCGTAAGGTGGCGTGGAAGCTTGTGGCCGAGGACTGGATCTTGTCTCAGGGCACAGGGAGGGCCTCTTGGCAAAAGTACAATTTAAGCTGAGACCTAGCTAGATGAAGAAAGGGAGGAGACTATTCCCAAAGGAGACCCCAACATGTAGGGAGGATTCAGAGGACAGCTCGATGTAGGAACTACAGGCCGAAACATTGTGACTAGTGGGAGCATGGTAAAGAGATGAGGTAAAGACTTGGGCAAGGTTTGTACTTTATCCTGAGGGAAATGGGAAGCCATTGAAGGGTGTTTAGCAGAGAAGTGACATTGTCAGATTTGGCTGTAGTCTGTTGTGCAAAGAATGGACCAGGGGTTGGGGTGAGGGGAGCAGAAGCAGGGGCATGAGTTAGGAGGCTAATCAAGTGATAAACATGATGATTCTCTGGACAGAAGTGGTGTCACTGGAGATATAGATGCTTAGAAAGCCAAGTGGACAAAACTTGGTGATGTATTAGATGTGGGAAATCTTGGAGAAAGATGATGACCAAGTAACTTGATGGAAGGTAGTGCCTTCATTGGCTGGAGACCTCCAGAAGAGATTCGCAGGAGAAAATGATGAAATCAGTTTTTGGCCTATTGAGTTTGAGGAGCCTAAGAGACAGTCAAGTGGAAATGTCCCATAGGTTGTTGGATTTTGGCATTTGGAGGTCTGGGATCAGGTCCTGGCTGAAGTTTTGGGAATCATATAGATGGCGAAAATGCCAAACAGGTAGGATGACCAAGAGGGAGTGTAGAGTGAGGGAGATTTTGCAAGGAGAGCATCCTTAGGGGAAGGAAGACTAAAGCTTTAATGCCGAAGAAGAAAGGACTTCTGAAGGGGCTGATGTTTGGATCCCAACTTGAGGGAAGGAAGGTCAGACTTTGGACACGTGTAGAGGGAGGAAGGCTGTGTTGGGACCAGATCATGGAGGCCTTGGTGCCAGGCTAAGGCATTTAGCATGTCCCAGAGGATTTGACACTGTGCTGTCTTCCTCCGGTGTACTGGCTGCTGGTTTTGGTGCCAGATAGTGGTCTAACTTCCAGCTTATGGGAAAGGGGCAGCTCTTAGCTCCCTTGCCCAAAGTAGAGGCAGTGGTGGGTATGTGGGAAGTGAGGAAAGTGAAGCTCCTGGGTCCTCTTGCTCACTCTGTCCTTTGTCTTTCTGCCTTCAGAGCCTTGGGAAGCATTTCCTTTCCAGGAGCCCCTTGAAGGACACAGGAAGACGCCGGATGAGGACAACCCAGCTGAAGTGAGGCATCCAGGATAGAGCATGGCTGTAGCCCTGCAATCCCAGGCCCAGACCTCTCCCCCACCAGAGCTCGATGAACTTCTGATTGTGAAACTGGAGGAGGACACATGGAGATCAGAATCCAGACCCCGGGAGAAGGAACATGACCCTGTCTCTGGCCGTGAGGCCTCCCGCCAGCGCTTCAGGCAGTTCCAGTACAGGGAAGCAGCTGGACCCCACGAGGCCTTCAGCCAGCTCTGGGCACTCTGTTGTCGCTGGCTGAGGCCAGAGATCCGCCTCAAAGAGCAGATCCTGGAGCTGCTGGTGCTGGAGCAGTTCCTGACTATCTTACCCCGGGAGGTCCAGGCCTGGGTGCAGGCGCGCCACCCTGAGAATGGCGAGGAGGCGGTGGCCCTGGTGGAGGATTGGCACCGAGAGGCCCGGGCTGCAGGACAGCGGGTGAGGCAAATAGTCTGTTCTTGCCTTGCAGGTCAGGCAAGGCAGCAGGGATGTGATTAGGTTAATGATTGCCAAAATAATAATTACTATTGTAATTGAGCAGTTGACATTTATTGAGCACTCATTGTGTGTCAGACACTGTTCTAAGCTTTCTAGATGTATTGCTCATATCTAATCAACCCCGCAACCCAATAAGGTAGGTACTGTTATCATTGCTATTTTTCAAATGGGTAAACAGACTCAGAGAGGTAAGTAACTTGTCCAAATTTATATTGAAATGAAAGTATTGTGGATTTAACATTACAGTTTCGACAGTTTGCAAGAGACCCTGAAGGCCCACGATATAATTTATAATTTGCTATGACACAGATTTGGATCCTGCTTTGGAGCTGGTATTTACATAGAAGCAGCCCTTTAGCTGGCTGTAGGCTGAGCCAGCCACCTAGAACCTTCATCTTGACATAACTCTATTTGCTTCTGCTTGTTCTGTAGTTGGTAATTCTTGTGATACTAAATCACACTTTGTTGGGGGAAATTATAGCTCTGAGAACATATCCCTTGTGAACGGCAGGGGTTTTCTCTATGTTGTAAAATATGCAGATGGGAGATTAGAGGGAGAAAATTTAATTAAGGTCTGTGACTTTGCTTTTTGGATTCCTTTACAAACTGAAGATACAGAAAGCATAATATTTAAAGTTACAAAACTAAGTAAGAGAAAGCATACCTAATTTTAATATAGCATTCCACCCTCCCATGCGATTTCTTTTAAAGAAACCAGCTATTTGCCTTAAGTGGCAGTGAAGAAACAAATGGAAGTCTTAGGACTTCAGAGCTGGAAGATGAAAAAATTGAGACCCAGAGATGAGAATTGACTTAAATGAAAGTCTTTATGATTCTTCATCTGTAAAATCAGAGGGTTAGACTATAATAAAAGTTCTCAGATTATACCCCTGTGAGCTGAAAATTGAAGGAAAAAAAAAAAAGTGATGGAATTTTATCTCGCGTTTTTTGTGTGATTTTTATTTTTAACCTGCTCCTGAGTGTTCACAAATGTCAAAACAAATTGTTAAGAAGCAAAGGAGCTTGACATATATGTTGTAGCTTGTGCTCTTAACATTGCAAGATACATAACTTACATTCTCTGCACGTAAAAATTTTCCAAGTCTTAATAATGGAACCAAATATATTAACTATGGCCCTCAAAGAGAAACACCACCTGAAAAAAGGTCAATGCTTCCTGAGATAAATGACCTCTGAGGTATTTTCCTTAAAGACATCTTTCAGCTCTGCTGCTTTGCGATTTTTAACTTGTTTATTACGTCCTTACCCTCTTGCAGACCTCCTCTCCCCATCATGTGTGTAAACATAAAAAATAAAATAGACTTTATTTTTTAGAGCAGTTTTAAGGTCACAGCAAAACTGAGCAGAAAATGCTGAGTTCTTATATGCCCCCTGCCCCCGACACACGCACAGCCTCCTTCCTTATCAGCATCCCCACCAGAGAGGTACCTTTGTTACAATCGATGAACCTGCACTGGCACATCATTATCTCTCGAAGTGCATAAGTTTACATTAGGGTATTCTCTTGGTGTTGTACGGTTCTGTATAATGACTATAGTATCATGCAGAATGGTTTCATTCATTGTCCTACAAATCCTCTGCGTTCTGCATATTCATTCCTCCCCTCAACTTCTGGCAACCATGGATCTTACTTCTTCACAGTTTTGCCTTTTCAGAAAGGCTTTTTTCATTTAGTAATATGCATTTAAATTTCCTCTATGTCTTTTCATGGCTCGATAGCTTATTTTTTTTTAGTGCTGAATAACATTTCATTGTTTGGATGTACCAGAGTTGATCTGTTCACCTACAGAAAGACATCTTGGATGTTTCCAGGTATTGGCAATTATGAACAAAGCTGCTGTAAACATCCATGTGCAGACTTTTGTATGGTGTACAGGTATTTTTGATGGATTCTTTGTTCATCTCTACCCCAACCAGTAGCCTACTGATTTTTTTCTTCCTCATTGTCACTTGAGTCCACTTCTTTCTATGTCCACTATTACCATCCATGGAATCAGAATCTGTGCTTAGGCATGGCAATAGATGAAGGCGCTAGGGCTGGGAGTGAGGGTCATTGTGGAGTCTAGTCACAGTTCCGCTGTGGATTGTAAGATTATAACTATAACAAAGTGAGTTTTTTTTTTTTGTCTTAACCATATAAGAATGTTGATAAGCAGAGGTTTTCTCCCTGTGAACCACACAGGACATTGGTGGATCTCCTTATCTGGAATGGCGTTTTATGCTGATGGCCCATTCCTATATAGCTTCTTAGTGGTGAACATCCTCTTTTTGAGATCAGCCAAAAGATTTTTGGAGAGAAATTTGTCAAAATCAATAAGCTGATGAAGATGGATGTTATTATTTTGAGTTAAGAAATAAGGTTCAGAGCAGCGTATATAGTTGCTACCTTTTGTGTAAAAATAGGGAAGAAATAAGAATGTGTAGTTACAGTGGCGTGTACATAAAGATGTATCTAAAATGATGCAGAACAGTAGTTTCCTGTAGGGATGGGTGAGGGAAGAAACTGGGCACATGGTGTGGGGACAGGGCTGGGATGGGGTATTTTCACTGAATATACCCTTATATATTTTTTCTATTTTTGCACCATGCAAGTATTGAAAATACCTACTGAAGAAATCGAAATACATTTTTTAAAGTGAATTATTTCGGTAAGGCAATGAGATTGTAATACTGTTGGGTTTTAGGGTGAGGAAATAACATCTCAGCCTTTACTTCTGAATTTGAAACTGAGAGATAGAGATAAATTGGCTTTGATAATGCTGAATTGGGTTATATCGTCTTTTAACTGATTATTCCCTTTAATTTTGCATCTCTGAGTACTTCTACATTGAAATGAATTGCCACTTCTGTTTTATGGTGCTTTATCTTTGCCGACCCTTCTGTTTTAAGGGTAGATGTGCCTCTCTGAAATAGCACATACTTTTTTCTTTTTTTCATTTTAAAATTCCATCCGTAATTCCTTGTCCCTCCTTTATCTTATGTTTATTTTTTATTTTCTTTGCCTTTCAGCAGGCATATTTAGAGCAATTACATTTAGAGTTATATTTATATCTGTTTTTCTGCTTCTCTTTGCTTTTTAATGTAAACCTGATTAACATTTGTCCTTTTTTGATAACTAAAAATCAAACAACCTGTTTTCGATGTTTAGTGATTATTTTTTAATATCAATAATTTTACATGATTTATCTCTTTATGATTCAGAAATGTTTTGAACAGTAGCAGCCTCATTGAGATACTTGTATAGCCTCCCTGCATTGAAGAAGACGTTAGTCATTTGGGGGTTTAAATAATGCTCTATTTACTGAAGTCAGTCTGGTGGCTTTGTTTTCATACTTTGAGCCATCTTTGGGTCTTAAAAAGAGCCTGCTAACCTCTGGGCCACAGTTGTGCTCAAAAAACATTTTCTGCCTACCAAAATTGGTCTTACTGAACTGACGATTGGGAATTTTGACCATCTCGTGTGTAGGAAGTGGAGTTGCGTGCAGAGGAGACCAGGTCCTTAAAGATAGTGCATGAATCTCCCGCGGATCATTGGCCTGAGGAACAGCCCCAGAGGCAGTGCATGAAGAACCTTTGCCCCGACCTTCCCAAGCATCTAGACACCAAGGTGGTGCCCCAGACCTTGAAAGAGAGTGGTGAGTACCAAGAATCAGGGACAAGCAGGAAAGAGGAGTGAGGGGGTTGGTAAGGAAGGGTACGTGGGGAGGAGAGGTGTCCAGAATTCAAGGCAGGGAATAGAACGTCTACTGGATACACTAAGGCAAGTAAACATCGTAAAAGAGGATGAAGCTCTCGATGGTGTCAGCTTGCCCCCCACCGCCCCCTCTCCCCCCATAGCTGAGTCATGTGGCAGGTTCAGGCTGGGAATGGGGCGCGGTGGTGATCATAGGAGCTCCGGGCTGCCATTTCACACATGGCACATCACCCAAAGCAGTGTAGGAGCTAGATGCTCTAGAAGGGAAGGAAAAGGGGAAATCTGCTCCGGCTACAGGGATAGTCTCGGTTTGACCCAAGCATGGCTTTTGGAAAGCTGGATCTGTCTACAGCCATGCCACCCTGAACGAGCCCGATCCCATCTGATCTTGGAAGCTAAGCAGGGTCGGGCCTAGTTAGTACTTGGATGGGAGACCACCTAGGAAGACCAGGTGCTGTAGGTGTAAAAAAAACAAAAACAAAAACAAAGCTGGACCTGAGAGGGCGTAGTTTTCCGGGAACCAGAGCTTAGGTTTCAGAGTCTTTTTCTTCTCCTCAGCGGTCCTCACTCCCCGAGTCCCTACCCTCCCAAAGATGGGGAGCGTTGGAGATTGGGAGGTGACAGCTGCGTCCCAGGTAAGCTGCCGTTTGTTCTCCTTTTCCTGTCATTACTTCTCCTGTGCTCTTGCCCCTGTACTCTTCTCTCTCTGTGGCCTCCCCTCAGCAAAAGTGCACAAGACTCAGGGTGTCAGTCCCCTGGGCTGCTCCTTAGTCACACTGCTCCTTACAGTGCTAGCCTCACACTCGGTATCCCTGTGTCCCCATTATCTTTCCTGGTGGGGTTCCCAGGCAGTTTTCAAGGGTCAGTGACATTTGTACATCCCACAGGAAGCCCTGGGCCCTGGCAGACATGCTGAGAAGGAGTTTCGCAAGGACTCCCCAGGAGACAACTGTGAGAACGGCATGTCCCTGGGTAAGGAGACAGTACCCGCTGAGGAAGATGTTGGATTTCCAGGACACTCAGTTCCCAAAGAGCGTTTTATCACTCCCTTACGACTTGTGGCTCTGTGAAGTCTGTGGAATTTCAGGGATAGGAAGAAGACATGCTTTTTGTAGCCAACACTGATGGCAGGGATGGACTGTGGGGAGTGGAGTCTGCCTGGATAGAGGCTGGTAGGGTGGAGGCTGGCAGGATGGCTTCTAAGAGCCTGCCCTCAGGGCTCGTTACCTTTATTTTCTCGGTACATTCACCATGGTGCTGGGGCTGGGCCCAGCTTGCTATCTCAGAAAGCTATCTTTTCAGCACTGAACAGGATCCACCTCTCTGGTGTACTCAAGTGAGCTACACCCCTGAAACTGATGCACTGAACCACAATGAAGATATCACAGGGTTGAAAATACTTGAAGCCTATATGAACAACACAGACCCCTTTCTCTGTGGGCACATCTAAACGGGAAGCCAAAGAGTAACCTTGTGGAGCCTGGGATCAGTATGAGGAGAGTTAGACACAGGAGTGAGATTAAATAGAAGACAGTGATAAGTCCGACTCATGTCAGTAAGGTCAGATACTACATACCTGTTGGCTACTTGCTTGTCAGTGTAGCCCCTTCTTACATATGATATCTGGGGAAAATAGCATTCAAAGGAGCAAACTTTGGAAAATGCTGAACTAGATAATTCTTAAACCTCTCTTAGCTCTTAACTCTTTTTTCATCTGGTTTTCATCAAATATTTATTTTAATTAAAGGCTTCTGTTTCATTAGGGTTAGGAGCTGTTGGGACAGCAGTCCTGTAAATGTAGCTAACTTTTAAAAAACAAGGACATTTATTTTCTCAATATGGAAAGTCCAGAGGAGAGCAGCCACAGCGCAGATTGGCTCAGCAGTGTCAAAAGGGACCTAGGTTCTTTCTTTCTGCTCTGTCATCCTCAGTCTCAGCTTCATATTAAAGCTATTTTGTGTCAGAGTCAGAAATAGATGCCAATGGCAATTAAGGCCACAAGTTTCCTAGCAGGAGGCTCACAACGCACGCGCACGCGTGTGCGCGCACACACACGTAAGAAACCTTTTCTCCAACCACTGACTTAATTCCGATTGGGCCAGTTTAAGTCATGTGCCTATCTGTGGATCAGTGACAGTCACTCTTTTGTATGACAAGGACAAAAAACAACAGAGCCAGGGCCCCTGGAATCCTAGGCCCCTGGGCGGACTCGTCAGTGGCCAGCTCATCACCATTACAGTCTTCTGCTGTTTCCTCGGGCCCCCAGCCCCTTCCTCCTGCTCCTCCACCTCTGCATCACTATCCCCCAGCCTGGGGACTGCCACAGCCTCTCCTGAACCCTCTGTGGCTCTGATGGCTGTCCGAGCCCTCACCAGGGCCTCCAGCGCCTCGTAGAAAGGACAGGTTCCCGGTGGGTGGCTGCTCTTTATATTGTTTCATTACAAGGACAAAAAAGCAAATGAACAAAGCAAGCCGGCCAATTGATGTTTTTGGTGATGTGATTCTATTATCTCTAGTTACCTCCCTCTGTCCCACCAGACATTTGAAGGGATGAGCATGGGGATTTCTCATCAGCCTCTTGCCGATAAATAATATGTTTCAGGGACATTTTGGACAAAGATTCTGCTCAACAGATCATTCTACTTAATAATTTCTCTGCTTCCTTTTACATAGGAGTTCCAGTTTCAAAACCAAATATCATTTCCCAGCGAGAGCAAGGACCAGAATTTTGGAGTCCAAGTCTTATAAATTCTGGAAAAAGGAACACTGTAGATTACAGCCTGGATAACGAGCAAACAAAACCAGGTCCAGCATTGGCCTGGAGGGACTCAAGGGCCTGGGAAGAACAATACCAATGGGATGTGGAAGACATGAAAGTGTCAGGTGTGCACTGGAGCTATGAGGAGACCAAGACTTTCCTGGCAATTTTGAGTGAGTCTCCTTTCTCTGAAAAGCTCCGGACTTGTCACCAGAACCGCCAGGTGTACCGGGCCATAGCAGAGCGGCTGAGGGCACGGGGCTTCCTGCGGACACTGGAGCAATGTCGCTACAGGGTCAAAAACCTCCTACGAAATTACCGGAAGGCCAAGAGCAGCCACCCACCGGGAACCTGTCCTTTCTACGAGGAGCTGGAGGCCCTGGTGAGGGCTCGGACAGCCATCAGAGCCACAGAGGGTTCAGGAGAGGCTGTGGCAGTCCCCAGGCTGGGGGATAGTGACGCAGAGGTGGAGGAGCAGGAGGAAGGGGGCTGGGGGCCCGAGGAAACAGCAGAAGACTGTAATGGTGATGAGCTGGCCACTGACGAGTCCGCCCAGGGGCCTAGGATTCCAGGGGCCCCGGCTCTGTTCCACAGTCGTGTTGGTAAGAACACAGGGCTTTTGTCAGATCCAGATTCCAGCCCGCCTGCTCGCCAGACCTCTGTCTCCTGAGTTCAGGGCACAGAAGTCTGGATCAGTGCTCCTGGATCAAGCGCTCAGTTCCTTAGGTCATCCTTAAACCCCTGCTCTTTTCTTTTATGATCAGTTTTCCTTGTATAAGTTTTCTTAGTTATAGAAACAAACACTTTTAAAATCCTAAGGGATCTTAAAGAGCTAATTGGGCATTCCCCAAAGTGTGTCACTGGTTGAGTGAGGATATGACAGATGTTGCGTTGTGTGAGTGAACTTTTAATGTGTGTGATTTCACAGATAGTAAATTTAGGTAAAGAAAGATAGCGAAATATTTAACAGATAGAGCAGAAATCATGACAGTATAAAGTCTGAATGATCAATGTTGGAGAAACACTCAAACATTGTAAAAGTGGAAACACTGAAGCCTAAGAGACAAAGCGTCTTATTTCAAAATCCACAGTGAAGCAGGGGCAGAGTCAGGATCAGAGCCCAGGGTTCCAGCCTCTTATGTGGTGTTCCCTCCAGCGCTCTGCTTCCCTGGCTGCATCATTAACCTGCAGAGGAACTGATAACAGACCACTTCCTTTTCCTTTCGCACAAGGGCATCCTCAATTGGACTCTATTGCAAGATTATTTGAAGTCCA